GCCCCCCTCCCTTGCTTGACGGCATTGAATAATACAATAAATGCCTTTTGTAGCAAAAAATGAGGAAAACAGAATAAAGACCCGTTTCAACAAAGTTATGAGTCATCACAACAGGTAATGTGCTTACATTTTATGGGCTTGTGTTCAGTCTCTGGTATCTTGCTCTATCTTTGGGGAGTGCCAATAACTCTAGTTTATGCTTTTTAAAATGTTTCTTTCGTTCCAAGCCAACCGCTTTCAAGAGATCAGAGCCAGATTCCAGGTCATCAGTTTGACAGCTGAAACCTTGATGCCAAAGTTGCAGGTAACCTGCTGCAGACCATTGTATGCAGACCATTGTATTATTGGTGCTGGTGGGGGGCAACAGTGGGAGGGCTTCTAGTGTCCTGGCCCCACTGCTGGACCTCCTGATGGCACCTGGTATTTTTGGCCACTGTGTGACAGAGTGTTGGACTAGATGGGCCATTGGCCTGATCCAACATTGGCTTATCTTATGTTCTTATATGACAGACTTCACATTCCTGGGATCCCAGATCACCGCAGACTGTGACAGCAGCCATGAAATTAAAAGACGCCTGCTCCTTGGGAGGAAAGCGATGGCGAACCTAAACAGCATGATAAAAAGTAGAGACATCATCCTGCCAACAAAGGTCTGCATGGTCAAAGTAATGGTATTCCCAGTAGTCATGTATGGCCACGAGAGTTGGACTATAAGGAAGGCTGAGAGCCAAAGAATAGATTCTTTCCAATTATGATGCTGGAGAAGACTCTTTAGAGTCCCCTGGACTGCAAGGAGATCAAATCAGTCAATCCTAAAAGAAATCAACCATGACTGTTCCCTGGAAGGCCAGATAATGAAACTGAAGCTCAAATACTTTGGCCACCAAATGAGAAGGGAGCACTCACTGGAGAAGACCCTGATGCTGGGAAAGATTAAAGGTCAAAGAAGACGGGGATGGCAAAGGATGAGATGGTTAGACAGTGTCATCAATGCAACGAACATGAAATTGAGCAAACTTCAGAGGATGGCGGAAGACAGGAGGGCCTGGCGGGATCTTGTCCATGGGGTCGCAAAGAGTCTGACTCGACTGTGCGACTGAACAACAACAACAACAAAATGTTCTTATGTTCTTAAAGTATCCCAGCTTCATTCAACCGCTGAGTCACAGATTTTTAAGTGCATTGTATCTGTAGAGCCTCAGGCGATACATCTGGGAACACAAAGATTTCGTCATTGTTGTATTTGAGACTGCATTTTGCTCTAGCCTCCTTCAATATGCGATATTTTGACCATATGTCCATAAATTCGGCTAGTATATCTCGAGGTCCTCTTCACTTATCTGATGCCTTGGGGCCCTACCGGAAATCCCGCATCACAACTGCTGCTACCCCATCTTCTAACTGAAGGACCGAAGCAAGCCAGCTAGAAATAAAAATTGCCATGTCAGTTGTTCCTTCTGCCTGCTTGGCAAAGCCTTGAAATTTTAAAGCTCTTTCTAGGGCTTTGTGTTCCAGCAGTAAAATTCTCTCTCTAGCCCATACCTTTTCTTTTGTAGTTTTCTGATGTCTTCCTGGTTATCAATGCCTTTAGTGCCATTTCTACTGACTGTGAAACTTTATGCATTGTAGCTTGTAAATCTTCCAATTGCTCAACCATCGGCTTCAACATATCATTAATGTTTTCAAGCATCTCTGTTTTGAATTATCTTAAGATGTCCCGCAGGTCTTTCTTAGTCAGTGATGGATCAGATATATCCTCTTCGGTTGCCATCTTGCTTTCTGGGCGCTGGCCCCCTCTCAGCAAACCTTTATCTGTATCTAAGTTAAAAATGTTTTGAGGCTTGTTGTTTCTGGGTCTGCCAATTTATCATGTGTTCCACCCGATTTCCCCATTGTTTTAAAATTGATATCCTTTTTGCTTCAGCATGCCATTGGGTTCGGGAAGGGGCTGCAGAGCTCAATCACAGGGCATCTCCCATTTTGAAGCCAACACCATGCCCCCACCCCATAAATTGTTTCTTTTAATGGACTTACTTTCTAGTAAGTAGGTTTAGGATTACAGGCTGTACAATTCATATCTTACTGGTTAGATGCAAAATGCCTGTTAAACTGCTTTCAACATATGTACTGTGCAGTAGATAGTCTAAATATTGCATGATTCCACTGCAACTGAATTCAGTGTTACCTGCATACTGCCAAAGGTTTAAATGAATTGTTTCAGTTTTTGCAGTAAGAAGGAACTTTTTGAAAACTAGTGATTCAAGAGCTCCCTCTAGTGTGTCACAGAAAGTATGGATGCAACTTCTAGGTAATACTTCAAACAGAAGACAGGTTTTTACTTGCTCTTTAGCTAGCACCCCTCCTAAAGTTAAAGTCAAGAGCAGCCATCACTTAGTAGTACAGCATCTGCTTTGCAGACCAGTCACAGGTTCAGTCCTCTAAATATAGCTTTAAAAGGACCAAGAATAAGTGAGGTGACAGATGTCTACACCAGGGACAGCCAGTTCCAGTCAGGATTTACAATACTTACCTTGATAGACCCATGGTCTGACTCAGTATAAGGTGACTTCATGTGTGTTCCAACTTGGTTAATATAAAGACTGCCATATTTATCTTTCCTTCCACTGTCATATAGGGCATCCATTTGTACTGGCATACACAGGGGAAGGCCATGTGCTGTGGGCAGTTCTGAATTAATCCTGGTTTTTATATTTATAAGCCACCTCAGGAAGGTCTCTGGAGAAAGTGTACAAATTCTCAAAATGGAATTGTTTACTTCTCTGTTTCAGGAGTTCTTGGTACAATGGGATATTTGTTTTGCCTCAGTCTGTAGAACATCCTTTTCACAAAGGGCAGAAAATGAGTCTTTCATATCATGAACTGAAACACCTTCCCCTTTTCTGTTGTTGTTTTTATTCTTATTTCCATTTAATGACTTCAAAGAGCTATATACTTGGGCTTTGCGATTTCCCCCGAAACATTCCCCCCGCCCCTTTTTTTGCACTAAGCAGCCAGCCTGATGAAGCACTCTGGAAACCTGAAAAGCTTGTGATGTTTGGATTGGTCCTAATAATTCTCTAGTTTCTAATGAGCCAACAGAGTTATTATAATTATAGAAATTACAATTTCTTTGCATTTTCTACATTTGGAACAGACACTTTTGATATCTGTTTGTATTTGTATAAGAACCTATGTTACTTGTTTATGATATTTATATTCAACATGATAAAACTCACTTAAGAGTTTTCATATATGAGTTTATTCATTATAGTACAGTTCTGTACATGGTATAGTTTCTTGTTCTTCCTAAACAGTCTACAACCTTGTTGTCCTCTCCTCCATCTTAGTCTCACAACAACCCTGTAAAGCAGACTATGTTGAGGGAGAGTAACTGGTCCACATAGCAAGTTGCTATGGCAGTGGGTATTTGAACTTGTGTCTTCCAAATCCCAGTCCAACATTCTAACCACTATGACATGGGTTAACTGGAATATGATGACTTACTACTAGCTTACAATATTATAATATTGCATTCATGTTTGTTTATTGCTGATAGCCAAAGACCCTTGCAAGCTTAACATATGGACTACCAGAAATTGAAAGGGGGGAATTATAAAGAATTATAAGGACCATGCAGAATTTAAAAATACAAGAACAAAGCAAACCTTCACAAAATAACGAATTTATAATAAAATAATATATATATATATTTCTCATTAAATAATTTAACATTCGATGTGTCTGAGCAATTTACTACCTGGTCCAATACAACTTTGGTCTATTTTTAAAAGCTGTCAATGCAGAGAGAAACCATAGAAATTACATGGGGGGGACTATGTCAGATAATATTTTTCTCCACCACTGACTTCAAGTTTAAATGGCCTAAAATAGCTATAAGAAACTTACATTTCAACTAAAAATAAAGATAATACAAAACATAATGTGGAAGATTCTCTAGTTCTAGAGTTCCACATACATAATCACTGAGCTACAAGTATCTAGGTATATTGACCTCTATGGTAACAATAAATGTAAATAGACTATATTCTGAAGGCCAAAAAACTTGAAATCATGTTTTGAAAAGTATCTTAATATGGGCCATCTGTTAAAGTGGGGGGAGAAGGGCAATGAAAATATTTTAAGGAGTAACAAGCTGTGCTCACTGTGGTTTGCACGTTCAGTCCCAGGAGTTTCTGAAGTCTACTGCTTTTCTTTCTACACTACGATTGTGCACAAATAATACATTATTAATATAAACAGGACCCAATGCTACTAAACGTCCTTCTTTTCACCCATAAACCAGCAACTTTGGAATCATTTAATCGAATATCAAGAGAAATAAAATGAAGATCAATTCTCCTCCTCCAGGTCCTTATATCAGCCATCACCCTATAATAAAACTTCACCGATTTCTAGACTTAATTAGACTTGGATGCCAATTTAGTGGATCAGTCCCATAGACAACTGCGTATCCTCTGGGACCAAAATCCAGCAAGTCAGACTCCTGTGACTGGATCTCCAACTCTTTAAATCTCTTTTAAAAGAAAGGGGTGGATTCTTGATTCCCCCTCCCCTCCCCAGCCAGGAGATCCAGTCGCGTCTTTCTTCATTTTTGAAGTTCTTCGCACAGGATCCAAGGCACACTTCTCTCAAAGACGCGAAACATTAGAAGTTGTTCTCTGGTACGCAAATTTACTGTAGCAGCCCGAGTAATCGCCAAAGAACCAATAGAATTAAACGAGTAAAAGCTGGCAAGGAAGCTCTGCCACGCATCGCGACGGTTTTCGCAGAGCAACGTCCTATTAGCGTCAATGTTGGAAGCGCCAATAAAAGCCGTGTAACCATCGGCAAATCACAATAGCAGCCCTTCGCCGCTCAAGCCCCGCCCAGTTCTTTGCATGGCCCCACCCCCTTCCAGCTCCACCTTTCACGTCCAAACAACTCCACGTCTGCAAATGACAATTCACCCGGAAGTATTCTTTATCGGCATACGGTGGATTCCCATTACTTCCGGGCCTTTGAAAGAAAAAAAAGCCTTTGGCCACGCCACAGGTAGAAACCGGCTCTGGAAGGTGGTGGGTCCTATCCGCGGTTTGCACGGGTAAGTTACCGGACTAATATTTTCCCCACTCACTCTTTTGAGGTTTCCGTTACGAGCGAGGCCTGCTTTTTACATCTCTCTCCCCTTTGTTCCGGGCTCACGTCGTGCTCTTTTATTCCTGTCAGCACTTGCGGTTGAATCTCCGCCAAGGAAATGATGCTGAGCGGCAGGTTGGGCCCTGGTGCCTTGGCGAGACTGTGGGGGCTGCTGCTGTTGCTAAACCTGGGTCGTGCCGTGCGAGCCTCGGAGATCACGTTTGAGTTGCCAGACAATGCCAAGCAGTGCTTCTACGAGGAGATTATGCAGGGCGTCAAGTGCACCCTGGAGTTCCAGGTAAGAGCACAACTCCTCCTTCAAAGCCCATATGTAGATGCCCTCCTGTTAGGTAATTGCTAGCATCCCTAACTCGATCATTAAGGGTTGACTTCCTGCTGTTTAATTTCTGTTAGTCTTGTTCAGTGCACAATACAGTTATCTGTTTGGTGGATTTCTAGCCTACCCTTCCCTGCATAGCAGAGCTCAGAGCAGGTTACAACATTTAAATGTATACAATAAGTTAAGGGTAAAGGTAAAGGTTTCCCTTGCTTGAAAGCCAGTCGAATCCGACTCTAGGGTTGTGGCGCTCATCTCCGTTTCCAGGCCGAAGAGCCAGCGCTGTCCAAAGACATTTCCGTGGTCATGTGGCCGGCATGACTAAACGCCAAGGCGCACGGAACACTGTTACCTTCCCATTGAAGCAGTACCTATTTATCTACTTGCAATTTCTTGCTTTCAAACTGCTAGGTTGGCAGGAGCTAGAACCAGAGATGGGAGCTCACTCCGTCATGCGGCACTCGGGTCTCGAACTGCTGAACTACCGACCTTCCAGCCTGCAGTTCAGCGTCAATCACTTGAGCCACCGCAACTCCTACATACAATAAGTTAAAACAATTTAAAACACAATCTGGAATATTTAAAGCCTATGCAGCATCATGTAATACATAAGATGGCAGGAGGCTTGGCGTGATGGGGTTTATGGGGTCGCGAAGAGTCAGACTCGACTGTGCAATTGAACAACAACAAAGCAGAATTGCAACAAATCCCGCAGGGCCCTGATCTCGCTTTGGACCACCAGGCTGGAGCTAGAGGCAAAAAGGCTCTGGTCGAGGCGAAGCTGATCTGATTTGGACTGGAGACCACCAGCAGATGTTGATCTGTGGAGCATAAAGCTTTTGGGGGGGACATTTAGGAAGAGAAGGTCTTGCAGATATGTTGTTCCCAGACCACACAGGGCTTTAAAAGTTAATACTATAACCTTGAACTTGATCTAGTATACAGCTGGAAGCCAATGGAGCTGGTGATTTGATTTAATTTATTAAATTTCTACCCCGCTCTCCCAGCCAGGGCTGGCTCAGGGTGGCTTACAAAACAGCATAAAATTACAGTAAAATAATAATAAGATACATTAACAACAATATTAATAATAAACAGTTCTGACTATTCATATTAAAACATATTAAAATGCTAGTGGTGGAGCACTGGTTGAACGTGTGCCCTTAGAGGTGTTGGACCAGCTGAAGTTTCTGGGTCAAATGCAAGGGTAGCCCTGCATAGAGTGAGTTAATCTGCAAAGTATATCTAAATGGGTGTCCTGTGCTGAGATATTGCTATGTTTTCTCACCCATGTGCTTCCTATCAATATTTTCCACAATATTCCCTGTCCACCATCTACATCAGGGCTCACCAGTTTTTTCTTTAATGATATATTTCAGAAATTAAAAGCATTGCCAGCTGCTCTCTCTGCCCCCCCCCCTTAACCAAGTTTTGTTCCAGAGAAAAATTCTATAAAATAAAAGTTTTTTAAAAAAAGAAAGAAAGAAAGAAGCCTAGAGGAGATATTTTTGCAATTTTCCCTGATTTTTCCAGGGGCTACACATGCATAATGTGATTACACTTTGGGGGAGGAGTAGGGAGAGTTGTATGGGTTTAAATGTTCCTGCAGATAAGGATGCTAACTATTTGCTGGAGTTCACAACTGAACATTCACTTGACGATTTTAGAACTCTGTATTGCTGTTCATGGTTGTTATCTTTTTATGTTACTCATAAATAAATGGTAACAACTGCCTGGCAATCCATGCATTCTGCCCCATCTTGAAACATTTGCTATGTGGATGGTCATGGGAGAAGAAATACACTAAACACTTTGGCTTGACAGGTTTGAATAATATATACAACCAATAGAACTATGTTGGCCCCTGCCACACGGGACGGCTGAAACGCGGCTACTCAGAGCCGCTCCAAACTTGAGACGCCGTGGCGGGATCCCACGCATCGCTCCCCGGCACGATCAGATGCCGGGGAGGAAAAGTCCGATGGGAGGGGGAGGCTGCCGAACTGCGCATGCTCGAGCATGCGCAGTATGGCCGGGGGCCGGGATGCGGCGGCGCAAGGACGCGCCGCCGATCCCACAGCCCAGCTCGAGGTGCTCCAATGGATGCAACCACCTAGATAGGTGGTTCTTTTGTACGGCGCGGTATCGGCATTTGGGATGGATCAGGGACGGAGACGGCACGCTCCCCAGATGTTGAGGTGGGATCGTGCCCGTTTGCTCCGCCCCCGTTCTGTCCCGCTCCCGGCCCAAATGGGCTCGTATGAACAGGGCCTCATATAACCTGATGAAAGCATATGAGTTGGAGCATAAATAAACAGGAGTCTAGTGGCAGCTTGAGTTAGAGCACAACATATGCGGTTCTATAGAAAGAGGTATGCCTACTGTTGCATTTCACTGTTAGTCATCCACCTGTCTCTGAAAACTAATGGAAAAGTTTGAGTTGGTTAATTTGTAAAATAACCTTTTATGTCAGCTCTGTAAAGCCATGTTTTTCCTGAAAAGTTTTCATTAGGTGTAGCTTAATAGTTCAAGGAATGCATCTTTCTTTTCTGTATAGCTGAAATGGTGAATCATCTCATTGTTCAAGTGAAACAAAGGAAGCACTTATCTTATGCAATTCTTTGAGGCACCATTGGTACTGTGAAGCAACATAACCCTGTCCTGTATTTGGTCACATCAGTTTGTTGTAATGTCTGTTTCATCATCTTTTTCCATTCATCCTAATTGTTCTCTAAACCTTCTACATATTCATTCTTTATCTCTCCCCATTCAGTTTGAGTAATATTTGATTATTATCCACACACAGTGTATGGTGACTGGTAGACTGAAATTGTGTGGCAATTAAAACTGTTAACTATAAGATTTGGGGTTTCAAGAACTTAGTATAATGTAAGAAAATATCCATTCTGTGTTGCTTTTAAAACTTGATTTTTTAAATCCTGTCATCTGACAACTTACATTAAAGCTATTTGTTAAACAGTGCTTTCATGTACTAAGATGCCAGGTGCTGGTTCTTTGCAAAGTGGTATGGGAAGGAGGTTGATTCCCACTTTAGAGACTGTGGTTGGAGGAAAGGAGAGCTTGGCCTTTTGTTTGCTCATTGCTTCCCCTTTTCAGTTCCTTGCTCTTCAAGCTGCTTTTCTAGTTGGGGACTCATACTAATGTTTTAAATGAAAATATAGGTATGGAAGAGGGTGGGTTGGTTAGCAGGGGAAAATAGTCAGTGGGGGAAGGACTATGTATTTCTGCCCTTCTGTTGCTCCACTGAGTATCACTCCTCCCTGGTACTACTTTGGTAAGTGTTAATGGCAAGTGGGGTTTTTAGAACATGAGGTGGCCAGGTGATGTGGGCTTCTATCTTAGGGTTTATATTCTTATGCTAGAATCTGTACTTTAAACAAAACTGGAAATAGTAGTGTACCTTATTTTGTTTGTAAGGCCCTTTAAACTCAGAAGACTCTGCTGTCCCTATAGAGCAGCGGTTCTCAATCTGTGGGTCGCGACCCCTTTGGGGGTCGAATGACCCTTTCACAGGGGTCGCCTAAGACCATCGGAAAACACAAATTTTCGATGGTTTTATGATAGAAACGAAAATAATGTTATGGTTGGGGGTCACCACAACATTAGGAACTGTATTAAAGGGTCGCGGCATTAGGAAGGTTGAGAACCACTGCTGTAGAGATTGTTTCCTATATACATTATTTGCTTGTAGGGCAGTTCTGCCCAGTACATTCATGTTGTTCCATACTTGGAAACCATGAGTTATGTATATAACAAAATATTAGCTTTATTAATACTCTTTCTGTCTCACTATGAGTCTTTTAGTGCTGCCTCCTTTTGGTGTCTTCCTTTGAAGGTATCTGATTGGCTGCTGCTTGGGCTCAGCCTTCTTCAGCAGTGCCACTGGCCCTTTGGAATGCCCTTCCTGACAGAGTAAGGAGGGTCCCCACATTGGCCTGGTTCCTTAAACACTGAACGCTATGGAAGGCATACAAGATAATTCAGTGGTGCTACTGTTTCTTACAGTTGTACTATTTCCTGGTCCTAATGCTTCTGTTGCTTGCTTGCTTGGCTTTTGTAAGGTGCCTTCGGACACTGTAGTCAATGGGAAAGTTAGGATATAAATGTTGAATAAGAGTGCAGGCTTGGAGTACTGTAGTATATGTAGCGAGCCTTCAAATACCTGTGAAAATGTGTAGAACTGAGAAAGAATTAAGTATTAAATTTCAGCCCTAAATACTTACCTTGAATTAAGACTCCTTGATTTAAAGCAGATGTTTCAAGAGAACATATTTTAGGCAATACTAATTGCTTCTGTATGTTAATGGATGTAAGGAGAACAACAATTATACTTGGGCAAGTGGGGAAGAGGTAAATTAGATATTTTGTGTGTGTGTTTGTGTGCATGCTTGGAAGTCATGGTGACTTCTGGCGACCTCTCCTGGGGGCCTAGACATTTTTCAGGGAGGTGGCTTGAGTAGCCTGCCTCTGCATCCCGCTTTTGATATTCCTTGGAGGTCGCCGTTCCAAGTACTTGCCAGAGTTGGCCCTGCTTAGCTTCTGAGATCTTATGAAATCAGGATTGCCTGGGCTATCCAGGGCAGGGTAAATCTTGTTTTAAACAATTAAAATCAGCATATTTAATTAGAATCCTAAAATGAGGTGGAAATAAATATGTAAATGAAACAAATCTGTTATTGAATAGCTCTAGGTTGAACAACACAGAATATATTTACTGCCACTTCATTCATGGGCAGAGTTATCTATTGTGTAGCCTAAAATAGATGCTGCTGTGTTGGAGAGTATACTGGTAATTTTAGTTGGAATCCTATGTTCTTTCAGCAGTAACATCCAAAGTTTAATCATAGCTGTAGAAAAAGCAGCAGAGCAAGCTACTCTTCCAGAATCCTTAGCCATTTCATTGTCATCTGCTAATCATGATATTGTAAGACAGAACCTTTGTCCCTGATTGTGTTTGCCCAGGCCAATTTGAGAAAACACACAAAAGCAGTCCTGTAGAGTTGGAAACAACAACAAAAATATTAATTAATAAGGAAGAATACAGATTCAAGGGTTTTGGAACCCTGAATACCCAACAGATTCTTCAAGTGTTACAATGGGTGAAATAGCATTTTATACTTCACATTACATCAGAGAAATAGAACAGAATTATTGGTTCCATCAAACATTGTCAAATTTCATCACCTATTTCCCATTGGGTTAAGACCTGGGGGGGTGGTTGTTCCCAGGCAGAGTTCTTCTTTTCCTAACAGAACAATACACTTTTCTTTTGGAAGCTATGAAGCAGCAATGTTGTATCTATATAACTGATATGGTTACAGAGTGCTTACTGTCCTTCATTCTAGCTAGGTTAACTCACATTAGAAACATGCACAGTTGTAGCTGGCCAGAACAAGCAAGGTCATGGGTAGCATAACTGTGTATCAGCATTTCAGCCTTCTTCCCAGCATGCATTCAAACAACAGTCACAAATGAACCAAAGTTAATACCTGAATACATTCATGATGTCAGAATCATATGCATTATGGAAGTGCTAAGCACACCTACCAAGTCAAACCTGTTAGTCAGTGGCAGAGTACAAAGTGGTTCATAAAATGTGTACAACAATATCTCTTGACACCACCACACATTAACCTTGTATGGAACTGACATGTGACAATGTTGGAAGCACCAAAATGTCATTTAACCCATTCCATAATAATTCCCACTCACAGAGCCCAAGAATACTGTCAGGAAGAACCCACAGTGTCTCCTTCAGCACTGTTAATGCCTTAGCACAGTATTTAGGATGGCAGCAGCTGATGTCCACAGTTACAAATGTCAGAACTCTGCTCAAACAGGCATTTGAATTCCGTACCAGCTCAAAAAGCAGTTGCTTACAAACAGCCACCCGGTGTTAGGTAACCAGTAAGACCATGCAGAGAAGGAAATACTGCTGTTTGAATTGCAACAGTCAGCCAGCTCTCTAACTGTATGCCTGGAAGGAAGCCTTTACAGAGAGTACATAGATGACAAGATCACTGGGAGAGGATTTTGAATCCTTCTGTGAGACCACACAGACAATGCTAATAACACTGCACATAGCATGTCATTTCTTACCTTGTAGTCTCAAAAGGATACAGATGCATACTCATCTTTGTTGGGGATGGCTGTGCCTTTTATATTACTATTAAGCCATTTTCAAAGCTATATGAGTGGCAGCCCTGCATAGGAACAGCTAATTTTCCACTGCTGTTTAGTCTAGTGCTTCTGGAAGTCGTGTACTTCGTGGCACAACCCTTGCCCCTGTGCATGTTGAATGGTTGCCTGTTGACCAGGAGAGCCTGTCATATTTCCTACAGAGATACAAGAGAAATTTATGGATGTTTGTGACAGATGGTTCTTGTAACTACGAGTTCATTAGAAGCTGTTGAACAACTGAGAGTACTGAAGTGTTATCCCAAACAGTAGAGTGCTTGGTGTTCATCAATGGAGATGGCTTTGCTCACTGCAGTTCTCTGTTGTGTGTAGTGAGGGTTTAGTTGCTTTGAAGATGTTTTGGTCCTTTGTGCCAGTAGTGTGGTTGCTCACTGTGTGAGACTACTCCAGTCTATTGAGTAAAGGAGTGCACTTAAGACAATACAGCTTTTCCTAATGTGGGTCTATTGACAGAAGTGGGAGATGCTCTCTAGCCATGGATGTTGAGTTTTTTGCACTTCATTTTGCTTGAGACAGAGGTAGAGATGTAAAATTTCCGGAAATTTTGAAGCTCGGGAAAAAACCCGTTTTTTTCCGGGGGAAAACGGAAATTTTCGGAAAAATTGAAAAAAATGCTACATTAGCATTTCTTTTGTCTTTTCTAGATTGAAAGTCATTCTGTTACTTTAGGAACAAAAAAAATGACTATGGACATTTTTACTTGGCATGAAATTATCACAACTAGCATATTAAAAATATAGTGTACCCAAACAATTATTACAAACAGAATACCTACCCACATGCAAAAACAAAACTGAAACCTTTTTATTTTCTTCTGACAATCGCACCTCCTAAAGGAAGAAATGCATCTTGTTCTTGCATTGGAGAGTTCAGTTTGTAACCTAGGACTTGCTTGTCCTCAGTGCACAGAAATTAGATCAATCTGATACCATTATATATTTTAGAAATGATTTGGAAAATATTTGAACACCTTGTCTTAAAATATTTTATTTATCATGTTAAAATAAAACATTCCATAATCAATTTCTTTTCTTTTCTTTTTTCAATTTTTCCAATTTTTCGGAAAAAAACAAAAAAGCTTCAGGGAAAAAAACGGGGGGAAAACGGTTTTTTTCCGAATTTTTCCGGTTTTTTTCCGGGCCTTCACATCTCTAGACAGAGGAAGGTCAAGCTGCAGGAGCTCTCTTTGGTCCCTCTGGCCCCACTATACTTGAGTGGCTTGTTTCAGTATTGAAGTGGAAGTTTCCGATAGGTGTATGTGCTTGGTGTTCTGAGGCAGAGTACCTGTAAGGGTTTTTGAGAAGATGTTCCTGTATTTGTTTACCTTGATTGTGGTATGTGCAAAATGCCTGATGTGTTTTCTTTTCTGGGGCTGTGCCGTGATTTGGGATATTGGCTAACTCAGGAGTCAATGTAGTTGGGTGGGGCAGTCATTGCCGGCTGCTGCCTTGACTCCTATAAGATGCGTTTACTTGGAACCTGTTCTACTATTTTTATCTTTACATTGGTAGGGGACGTGAGATCTAGCCCTGGAGAAGAACAACTGTTCTTCTCTATTGAATTGCTTCCTTTTGCCATTCTGCAGAGGAAGGAGAGGTGATCTGTCCTGATTTCCCTTCTCACTACAGTCGATCCTGATCTGTTTGGCTTTCTTTGTCTGTGAGGGTCCACTCTTCACGTGGCAATTGTTTTTCAAAAGGGGCTGCTGGGGGAAAGGGAAAGTGTGGAAAGATCTGCTTCTGTCAGTAGGATGGTCATAGAATACAATCCATTCTGTTTTAATATTCAGCTTCTCTTTAAACGTTACCATAACCAAAGTTTGTACAAGCCTTTAATGAAAATTATCTTCTTTTGAGAAATCACATTAGAAGGACTCCTGCTTGTATCGTGACAGAGAGAGTAGTAGAAACCATAGTTCCAGTCTGATTTGTGACACTTATGTAGATTAGGCCAAGTATCTTAGGGTCTCCACTTGGACATCTCCTGTTGATTTCTCCTTGGTTTTCTTGACATAGTTTGGGGCTGTTAAAGTTGGAAATTTTATTACAACTGAACAGTTTTAATAAAGCTGCCCTTCATCTTAGCTCTGCTGGTTTATAGAAAATTGCTTCCTGGGGCTGTGTTCAGTGTTCTATAAATGTGCTTGCCACATTTGCCAGGAATTATAATGCTGCTGACTATTGAGCATTCCCCAAAAATGTTTTCTTTGTTCCACAGGTGATCACTGGAGGACACTATGATGTTGACTGTCGCTTAGAAGATCCAGATGGCATTGTGTTATACAAGGAGATGAAGAAACAGTATGATAGTTTTACTTTTACTGCATCCAGAAATGGAACATATAAATTTTGTTTCAGCAACGAGTTTTCTACCTTCACACACAAAACTGTGTACTTCGACTTCCAGGTTGGAGATGATCCACCTCTGTTTCCTAGTGAAAACAGAGTCACTGCACTTACTCAGGTAGAGTTGCTTTTTACTTGATTTAGAATAGGCAACATCTTACTGAGACATTAGGTTTCTAGGGATAGTTACTTGAGTACAGCACATACATTGATTATTAGTCATACTAAGCTTTATTTAGGTTCAGGCGGGTAGCTGTGTTGGTCTGAAGCAGCAGAACAAGGTTCAAGTCCAGTGGCTCCTTTAGGACCAGCAACATTTTATTCAAGGTATAAGCTTTCATGTGCACACACACACATCTTCACATACATTGAAATGGACATTACTAGTCCATACATATAGGTAGAGAGTGAGCAGCAAATTAGCATACAGCATAATGAAGGTGTTTAACAGATGCAAGGACCAAACTGAAATAACAAGCTTACTTTATATGGTCACCCTTTGTTTGTGTTTAATGCCCGGGGGGGGGGATATGTAGGATAGGAAATAAATATATCAAAATCAGAGACTGGTGGGCAGATGTATCCTTCTTAACTGTGGAATGCTGAGAGCAATTAACTGATGCAGATCCTTACCTTGTTCCTCTCTTCCCCCAACAGTCTTTTATGACCTTGGGGCAGTTGCGGGAGCAGGTGGGACTAATAAATCACATGGGATGGAAAGCTGCAGTGTAGAGGGTGAAATCACTTTTCCTGCATCTTCTGTCAGTGGAATTGTGATGACCGACGAGAGGAAAGGATGATTTTGCCCATTCCCCTTGTAAGCAATGCAGCTATTGGATCATGTGGGTCCCGCAGCCCTGGAAACAATCTTTTCCAGAATCAGAAAGGACGTCTAAGGGAACTGAACAAGGGAAGGGTCTTCCATCCTGGCCGCCCTCTGGTTCCAAATGTTATTGACTTCTCAGGTTCTTGTTCTGCAGGAAATACAGCCAAAGAGAGTGTTCAGCATTGCAGTCAGTCACAGACTTCTGTAGCAGTAGTGTAAAATGCAGCTTAATATGAATTAGGGGGTTCACTAATACACTAGCTGTCAGATTGTATAATCTGTTTGCCACAATGGAGGAAAGTGTCAAGTGGCAAGAATACAAATGTCTGTGCAGAATTAATATCAAGAACATAACATGCAAAAGCATTAATCATACAGTTGAGTGTGAACAGGTTTGAGTGCTTATACTACAATTAAAATATGGGTGTTTTTGAAAACCTAGTTATTGGTCATAGTTTTGCTTCAGCCACTACTGAAATGTGATTTTAAGGTTATTGCTTTCTGACTTAAAGGGAGAAGGGTGAGCATCTGGACCAAAATTTTACTGACATAGAGAAAAACACTCCTAGAGAATATAATATTTCCATGTCCTTCTACTGTAAGCGATGAAACTTCCTATATGCTAAAATCGAGTTATTTGGTTTCTGTTTTCTTTATCCTTAAAGCTCAATGCCTTCATATCACTGCAAACAATACTTAGATGAAGAAACAGTGTAGCCATATCAACAGCTGTTGGTTAACCTTCAGAAAATAAAGCTCAACTAAGTGAAGAAACCTCAACAATTGCAAAAGTATATTGTCCAATGGGAGAACTATTTATTAATATTATTTTTTTTCTTTATCCAGATGGAATCTGCATGTGTTGCAATTCATGAAGCTTTAAAGTCTGTCATTGATCACCAAACTCATTTTCGATTAAGAGAAGCCCAAGGCCGCAGCAGAGCGGAAGATTTAAACACACGGGTGGCTTATTGGTCAGTAGGAGAAGCTATCATTCTTCTTGTAGTTAGCATTGGGCAGGTTTTTCTTCTCAAAAGCTTCTTCTCAGACAAAAGAACCACCACAACCCGTGTTGGATCGTAACTCATGTTGAGAAAATATTTCAAATCCACTGTTCCTTTGTAAAATACTGTTCTTCAAATAATTTCTAGTTACAGAACAATTAAATATGGAGAACATTTTAAATATGTTTAGCCTTCCCTCTCTGCTTAAAGTTGCAAAATACACGTTCCCCAAAAGCTGTGGAAAAAGGCAGCTTTTTATTTGTAATATATGGATTTTGTCCTGTTTATGTCTGCACAGAGATTTAACTTAAGGTTGCTACATTTTTTTAAACAAATGAGACTACATGGGAGTATAATGCTTTAAAATATCCTTTAAAATGTTGATTTGGGAGATCATCCATATGAAAAGTGGATGGCAGTCTGATTTCTCAAGAAAAAAGTTATGGGACTAAAACAAAAAACAATGTGATTAATTGTAGTCTCAAAGCCATGTACTGCACTGTTTTGATTTTTCTATGAAAATGCCAGTCACATTTTCTTGTAATTTCTTGTTTTACTGAACCAAATTTAAAACTGAGGACCGTGGGGAATCCAGTTCTCTGTACTTGGAAAATGTTTATCTAATTGATTTTCATTTTTCTTTTAAATAAATTGGGAGAATGTCTTGTAACTCTCAGAATTGTTCAAATTGTGATGCTGCTGCTTTGAAGAATTGAAATCTACAGGCAGATCCACAAATAATCTGAGTCAGCCATTCCCACTTGACATCAGTAGGACTGAGCTAAAGTGCAAGTGGACTGGGATAAATGATTTGTGCCTCCGAGCAGAAGGTCGCTTTCAGTATAATATGTAGGTAGTCCCATGTTCTCTGGGACCAGGTTTGAATAAGTGGTTTGAGGATTATAACCTTTAAAAATGGCTTATTAAGCAACATCTGTACAACCACCCAGCATGGCTGTATAAAATCTGTGAGTTCAATATATCTCCTTTTGGAGTCTTTAAATTAACTGCTGGAAACCTAGTTTTCATGGGTGTGATGCACTAATTTGTTGCTTGGTGCCAGCAGCCACCACTTTTGAGCTGGAGAGCCTCCTTGTGCAGTAGTTTACAATCTTCTTGGTATTTGGATTTTCTTAGCTTGGATCAATCACTCTCTTTGCTCATGACTAGCATATACTCAAAGGTTTCATAGGTATGTGAGATCGCATATTGTACTGTAGTCAAAAGCAATCAAAGTAACATGATAAACACATCTATTTGAAAGTAAGTCTCAGGGCCAAACTAGTTGTTCGTGTTTTTGAAGAGTTGGGTCCTGGTTCCCTGCAGCCAAGCAGTGCAGGAAAGCCATTCAGAGGAAGGCAGTAGCTCTTCCTGTACACGTGTTGGTGCTTCAAGACCAAACAGGCTTTCATTTATTTTTTAAAAGTTGTCACATGCAGCTGCTGTGGGGAACCCAGCCCCGTTACTCAAGTCTTTAAAAACACAAACATGTAGTTTGGCCCTCACAGACTTCAAGAGAGTTTATTTGTATATTTTGAAATAAAGAAGGCAGCTTGTATCAAGGAAAAAATAGAAACTTGACTTGCAGTGTTGGTAAACATGAAGACCACTGAAGCTAACAATCACAGAAACACACTTCGCATTGAATTTTCCAACAAAGTTGCCTCACTCTGTTTTTGCAATTGTAGGTAGTCCCTACAATTGTGTAGGTATGCTATCAGTCCCAGAAAAATGTGTTACACACACCCATGTATGAACCTGGATCATTGTGTCAAATTTAAATGCTGGTGGTTGTAAGGAGGGGAGAGTTAGATTCACCTTCATATTGAGCAGTTCAGCTTCGATGATGAATCTGAGGATTCTTAGTTTATTTAGTTATTGAGTATGTTAAAGTGTCCCCTTAATTACTCTGTGTGCGTGTGAGAGAGAGAGGCTTTAAAAAAACCCTATAAAAGTGTGTATTTTAGGGCCAGGGAAGACCTGTAAATGATTAAAGCCCCATACAAGTAACTCAGTGTGTGATTTTATTTCATTTTTTACTGTAGCGCTTCAGCTTGTATAAAATAAACTTGACTGTACCTGCAGGGTAATTATGACAAGACTATAAAATAAACTCATTATTGCTGGAGACTAACTTGCCGCTCCATTTCTACTATTGAGAAATATTTAGGAGCCTTACATAAACAAAGGGTTGGTATGTTACCAATAATGGTTAGGGGATTTGGCTATAAAGAGCAAAGGTCTTGTGAAAGCATACCTGTTCAGATTAAAGCTGAAAGCTACTTGTAAGTAGGCCAGTTGAGGGACTTAAATAACATCCCAGTTGATAAGTTCATGACTAATTATGTTCTGATATTAGGTAGATTCAGACAACCAAGGGCCATGCAGTAGCCAGTTAAAACTATACCACTTGTGCCTGTAAAAACATGAGAGGTAGTTTTCTCTGGTCTCTAACCAAGTGGCAAAGCTTATCAAATCTTCAGGTTCCACGGATTTCCAAACAGTACAGTTGTGACCAGCCATATTGTTAAAGACTATAGATAAAGCCACATGGTTAGCATCTACATATGACTCCCTCATGCAATTACATGTTCTAAGTGGTTGCTGTATGGCTGCTAGTTATCTGAATTAATCCTTTACTATATGTTGAACTGTGTGTGAGTTCTGCTTCATAATTTCCCCTGCTAGTAATGTTAATGTATATGGGTCTGCCTAACTTGGTGGTTCTGCTGTAGTGGGTTTGTGACACTAGCTCTTAAACTAGTTGTGTTCCACCTATCTCCTATCTTTCTGGACGGCACATTAAAAAAAAATGTATTTCATGCTTCACACAAATTCCAAATCACCTGATTAGGTAGTAGGAGTTAACAGGCACACAGGAGAATTGATATAAAAGTGGGTTTTAAAATGCTGTAAAAACTGAACAGTTGTACAAACAAAACCTGTGGTGCACATCTGAGGTTGAAGTAATAACCACAACAAAAGATGTTTTAAGTCTACATGTGTTTCATGATGTGAAATGTCTAAGTACTGATATAATTTGCAAGCCTTTTTCTTACTGACACTAAATTGGCCCTGTGAACGTTATATGGGATAATAAAATTAATATAAAGTTCTGCTGGAGTGGATCTTTCTTTGAGGACTTAATACAGCACATATATTTCTCTTCCCTTGGACTGCAAGATCAAATCAGTCAATCCTAAAAGAAATCAACCTTGACTGTTCCCTGGAAGGCCAGATAATGAAACTGAAGCTCAAATACTTTGGCCACCAAATGAGAAGGGAGCACTCACTGGAGAAGACCCTGATACTGGGAAAGACTGAAGGTCAAAGAAGACGGGGACGGCAAAGGATGAGATGGTTAGATAGTGTTATAGATGCAACGAACATGAAATTGAGCCAACTTCAGAGGACGGCGGAAGAGGAGGTGCTGGCGTGATCTGGTCCATGGGGTCGCGAAGAGTCGGACTCGACTGTGCGACTGAACAACAAATATTTCTCAAATCAAGGGGGTTGGTTTATATCGGGACCATTCTAAAGCTCGAGTTAGAATGATTCTAATATGAGGGAATCTGAAAACTAACAGCCTGGTTTTATGTTTACTCAGCAGTGGCCCCTACTTAGTAGGATTACTTTAAAGGAAATAGGTATAAGATTGCAGTCTAACTCTTAATTGTTGATATAGTTACTAGGATTGTCTTTGGATTCTTAAACTAAGTGTCACTTAAAGGATATTCAGTGCAAATGGGATCTATATATGTCAATTCAATGTCAAGTCAAACAATGTGCTTCAAAAATGTTCCCTATAATTTTTGAGGTTCTGAGTAACCGCCATTAGTTTTAGAGCAAGAAAACAAACAAACAAGGGGCTAAAATGGCTGCAATTGAAAGTGCTTTAATATAAAAAATACTTCAACCCTCTAATATATCTATCATCCCCCGTTGTTTAAAATACTGCTACAAACAGTGCCATGAAAAAGCATTTTCTGATGGGCACAAACACAGCTTGTGGCCATATTGCCTTATTCAACCCTGCTTTCCCCCATTGTGGATAGAAAGAAATTTAAGTTTTGATGGCCGGGTAGCCTAGAATCCTGTTTTAATTTGACATGACATTCAAATGCAGTTGTCTGGACAAAACATATTATTCCCTAGATTCTAAACCTCAATTTAATCCTGGTTTGTAAGGGGGAAAACAATCTCCAAGACTAGGTTGCCTTTAACTGCAGCATCTCTGTGCTGCAAGACAGTTTTGAAGCTGGAGGGTGCAACAGGGCATTTGGAGAATCAAATAGGCATTCTAAGAAGAAAAGGCAAATTTATGCTAAGTTAGCATAAGCCACATGGTATAAACCTAAGCAACACTTTTAATACCGGTCTATATTAAGTATTCAAAACTATACCTGTACCTGGATACTGTAATTTGAGCATTTAAGCAATTAAAGCAAAATGAAAAGAAAACCTATCTTCAGAAATGGCTTTTAGTATTATTGCATTATCTCATATTTTACGACATCTGTTAGGTGTGCATGTTGTTTCATAATTGATCAAGAAGCACTCGTGTTCAGTTATAAACAGAAGGCACCTTAAAATACTGTTATCTGTCCTGGAGCTACGGTGGGGCTATTGCGGGCTCCACCCCCTCCCTTAAGGGGGCAGCCCCACAAGATTTCCCTCCTTCCACCCAAAGTGAAGTCTGCAGTGCCTTAAGAAGCTGGCAGGCAGGATGAAGAGAGGGGAGGTGCAGCCTCTTGCCAGCAGAGTCTTCGTGGCCGGCAACAGAGGCCACACAGCCACCCCCCCTTCCCCTGCTAGCCAGCTGAGCAGGGAGGAGTTTTAAAGGAGGATGGGCAAATGGGCAGTTCAAACTTTAAACCCCCTCTCTGGAGTCATGCTGTAGTGGCAGCACAATTTCTCCACTGGATACAATGAAAAAATCGTGCTGTAGCTGTGGCACAACTCCAGAGAGGCGGTTTAAAATTTAAATCTCTCTACTCAGCTGGTGGGGGAAGAGAGGGGAGGGAGGGGCAGCCACATGGCCTCCTTGTCCTCCGAGTCTTCTTCCTGCTAGCAAGCATCCCCTCTCTTCCCTCCGCCTGTTAACGGAATTTTAAAAAACAAAATGAACTTGTCTTTCAGGCTTACAGTTGAAGAAGATGAGACTATAAAGAAAGAGGAAGAGAGATTAAAGGGGGAAATAATATATGCAGTAGATATTTGCTTTAGTGGAAATTCCATGTGTTACTTTCTGACTAATCATATGACTTCATAAACACTTTACAGTATCTTGTGACAGCTGAGAACAATTTATCGGGCATGTCGGTGAAGGGATCACTGAAAATGTCATGCTACACACACAAAAAAGCAAATACAGTACTTAGGCATTAATAGGAAAAGGAATTAAAACAGCAAGTGCCATTAAAAATTGTTTCAATATTTTTAACGTGTGGACAGTTGCCACTGATGGAAGCTACTGGATGGAGGGGGGCGGCTTCTCAAAACGTTCATCCTTGCCCAACTTCCAGAACTGTGCCAGAGTAGAAGCCTTCCTCACACAGGGGTGTACCCAGGAATTTCTGGGTGGTGGGGCAGGGGAGCAATGGCAGGCTGCCTTGACCTCTCACCTCCACTTGTGGCTTTGGACAGTGTGCCTTCAGCCTCGTGGGAGTTTGTGTGGCCAGCCTGCTGGGATACACCTCTCCTCCCTCCCTGCTTCTGGCCCACCAGCTGACCTTTGGGTGGTATGCCTGGCCCTGTGGGTGGCTATTCCCAGTGTGGCACGGAAGGTGGGCAGCAGGGCCTGCGAGGTGCTGGAGTTACTGCTGCTGGTGGGGCAGGACTAACTAGTGAGAGGACATGGCCCTTAAATGCCCCATCGTGGCTATGCACCTGTCCTCATGTATTCTGGAAAAGTATTCCACAAGGCATGCACAACCATTTAAAAAATCTGCAGAAAGTGTGGAAATGACTGATCCTGGAGAATTCAGGGTATTATGGTAAACCATAGCAACCAGAGTTATACCTACCATTTTCAAAGAAACCACAAATTATAAGATGTGGAAAACTAACAACCAGGAATTAATATCACCCTCTTCTCTAGTATGTGAACTTCCATATGGGGTTACTTGTATCAGAAAATGGTGTCTCTGTGGCCCATTGGTTTGCTTCATCACTACTATACTGTTTTTTTATTAAAGTTTTTATGTCTCTTAATAGTCCAACCACTGTAACAAAGCTCTGTAAGTACCATGGCAGCTGCCTTTGTTTTCAGCTCTAGACAAGCAACAAATTTATCTTAACTCTGGAGACCCTCAGGTGTGGTGGTCTGAAATCCTTTCCCTAAGATCTAGTGGGGAAGGCCTGCATAGTGATGTAAGAAATACCAAGGGAGGAGGCAAAGCCTTGGATCCACCAGAAATCGCCACTGATAGAAAGGATTTCCATCAGCACAGCATAAGTTTCTCAGTTTCCCCTGCTGTCCCAAGGGACAATGGAACCTCAAGAACAGTGTGTGTGTGTGTGGGGGGGGAGTTGGAGAGGTTTGCTGCTGAACTGGGAAATTGGTTAAAGCCCCATATGTAGTCTCAGTTGTTTTTTGTAGTTTGGTGTCAGATACATTGATGACACTGAGTATACATTATTTAAGCCTTCAGAAGCAGCTGTCTCCCTCCTAGCCAGTGTCTGACAGCTGTGATCAAGTGGCAGAAAGAAGCTGATGGGCAGTAGATTCAGAATGGACAAAAGGCAATACTATTTTATACAGAGTAATTAAAATGTGGAATTTGCTGCCAGAGAGGATGTAGTGATGGCCACAGGAATAAACAGCTTTAAAGGGGGATTAGATAGATCCACGGAAGATAAGTCTATCAATGGCTACTAGCCATGGTGACAGGGAAATCTCCACATTCAGAAGCACTAATCCTCTAAATCCCAAAGCCAGGAGGCAATATCAGGGGAAGGCCTCAGACTCTATGCCCTGTTATTGGCCATCCAGAGGAACTGGTTGCCCATTGTGTGAAACAAGATGCTGGACTAGATGGACTATCGGTCTGATTCAGCAGGGCTCTTTCTTATGGCCTTAAAGAAAACACCTGAAGCTGAATCCACACAAGACCAGAGTGAAGACAGAACTGGTATGGGTCAGATAGGGAAAACTCCCATATTCAAATCAGATTGATGTGTATGTAAATTTTGATTTGTAATATGTGGTTTTTTCCTTAAAAGAATGATTCAGAGAAAAGTGAAGCAAAATTAATAGAATGAACATGCCTGGAGTACTCCATCAACAGCTCTCTCTGGTAATTATATACCAGTTTATTTGAATACATACATTAATAGAAATGTATTTTCATCTAGCTAGAAACGAATGGTTCAGAGAAAAGTGAAGCAAAATTAATAGAATGAACATGCCTGGAGTATTCCATCAACAGCTCTCTCTGGTAATTATGTACTGTAGCCAGTTTATTTGAATACATACATTAATTGAAATGTATTTTAATCTAGCTAGAAACTGTGTTTGTTAAAATTGGACAGCCTCGGTTAATCTGGCATCTACTTTGTTTAAACACAATTACTCTTGATTTCTGCTGGTGGTTTAGTCATGAAAGCTACAATGTCATCATGTATCTGCTTATTCTATTCGTAGAATTATTTCAGACTTAAAACCTGCTCTGGTTTATGTCCGAATGCTTGGGGAATGGCTGCTATGCAGAGGCAAGGGAAACCAAACATAATGGGCAAGGTCTTGTTGCGTGTCTGTCTGTCTGCCCATAGGGCTCTTCCGCACTGTCATTTTGGTCACTCGTTTGTCCCTATTGCTTCAGGGTTCTTTCCCCCAATGTGTTTTGCTCTCTTTAGTAGTCCCAGAGGGAGCAAAACACACTTGGAAAAGGGAGGGACGGGACTCAAAAGGCAAACGAGTGACAAAAATGACTTTTTGAAGAGCGTGTCCCAGACCTAGCGAAATTAAAATCTACGCATCTGCGGCCTCTTTTCTTGCTTCAACGAGTTTTGGAACTACTCTCTCGCCCGCTATAAAATACACTGTAAAAATCATCATGTACGACCCTTCTTCGCATTTTCTCCTCCCAACCCAGTTAGGGGCCCTCCCTTCCTCCTCCCCCGTTCATTGGGAGACGTCCTTCTCTCTCTTCTTGCACCGCGACGGATGACGACGAAGTTTCTGATGGGACGGAAGCAAAGCTGCACAGCTTCAAGTAAAACCTCGCTCCAGCCTTCAGCGGAGGAAAGAGGAAGCCAAGCCAAGCCGGAATGCCCCTTTTGTCGGCCAAGCTTCCTGCCTCTCCCTCCCCCGCCGCTGGAGCGGAGTCTCACAGCCGCCCCCACCAAGAGCTCTTGATTCCGCCCCACCCGCGCTTCGGCTTCCCTTTCTCGGCGGGACAGTAGCGAAGCTTCTCTGCGGGCAACGTGAATCTTCTCCCGGGCCGGGGCCGTCCTGGTAAGCACCACTTCTTAGGGCGGGGCGGGCGGGCGGGCTGGGTGCGCCTCCGGGGTCGCTCGCTCGCGACTTGACCCAGCCCAGAAGTTGCGGCCCAGGCCCTCCACCACATGCCTTCCCCTTGCCTGGCGCGAAGCTAGAGGTCTCCGTCCCGAGCAGCCCCTTCTGCACAAGGCGGTGCTAGACCCCTTCAGGCGCTGCGTCCCCCCCCCCTCCCCTCCCGATTTTCTTCAACCAGAGCGGCCTCAAGCGGCGGCAGCAGCAGCGGGCGAAACCTTCTTCCGCTCAACGTCTTGGAGCGTTACCAGGTCTGGTCCAGGATTGCTCCCTTTTCTCGCCGTAGCCTAGCTCAGGATGCTCTTCGTGGAGGCATCGCTTTTGTACCAAAGATGCAGGCGCGCGTATTTTCAGTGTGGCGATTCCCCAGTGCAGGCCAGGGCTGTCTTTCTGCGGGAAGCCTGGACTCGCCTGGCTGTAATTGGGAGGCAGCACAAGATTTGCTTCTAATGTACAGGAAGGTGGCTGCAAGGGAGAAAGGGTGGAGTCACTTAAGGGTGCTGGAAACTTTCAGATGGTCGCAGGGCACAGACATAGGGAGCCAGGCCATGCAGGGCTTTGCAAGTAAGGGCAATAAGTTTGTGCTAAACCTGTGAGCAGACAGATAAGCAGTTCGGGGATCTGAGAAAAGGGAAAGGGCACTAGAGAAGGGGAGGGGGGGGAGATGACTGGCCTGTGTACCAGAGTTTTCACCTAGGGGGCAACTTGGCAATAAGCTGATACAGCAAGCAAAGTAAAGGAAGGAATCAAACCAAGAGGATGCACCTGATCAACAGGGTAGACAGTGAGGTTGTTCAATGGACAGTGAGACTAAAGAAGGAGGTGGTGGCTTGGGAAGAAAGATGAGAAATTGATTCTTGAAGTGACAATGAATTACTGGACTTGCAGTTGTAGATCCAGGACTAGATGGAGGGACTAGCTTGTGAGGGAGACATGTGGAACTGAGTGTCACCAGAGCACAGCTGGTACTTGAAAGCTATGAGGACTGATGAGGGTCATCCAGGGACAGAGTGTAAGTATAACATGACCAAAGACAAATCCTTGCACGGCCACAGCAGAGGGGGAGAAAGCAGCAGGGAAGCCTCCCTCTGTGGAAACACTGGGTGACCGATTGGAGGGTAAGATGAAAACTAGCAAAGGACAGGGTCCTGGAAGCCTAGGGTGTGAATGGAGTCAAGCAGTAAAGAGTGATGGATGTATCAAAGGCAGCAGAGAGGTTTGCCAATGAGGAGGTGGCAGTTTCCATGGAGAGCACTCATGAAAATCATTGGCAAAGGATGAAAGTCAGGCTGTAGAGGGACAGGAGAGGAATCTGAGGAAGGAGATAGTAGAGAGAGTGTGGGAGTAAGTGGCCATGTCCCCAGGCTTTAGAGAGTAAAGTAGAAGGGAAATCAGCTGGTAGTTAGGGGTGTGCAGTGGGCCTTTTTGGAAGAGGGGTTCTTTTTTAGAGAATTGGAGCAGTGGCAAGTTTGAATGAGGTAGGGAAGGGTAATAAAGAAGATGATCAGGATTTGAGGGGGTGGGAGGATTAAATGAGGATGATAGAAGTCAACACGTTGAGTGAGATGGGAGAATGGGAAGACAATGGAAAAGGTGGGGAAGCAGAGAGAGCAGAGGTTCAAACTATTGGTGAAGTTTTGAGTGGAGAGTAAGGCACAGGGAAGTGGTGGTGGGGAGCAAGAAGAGACACTGAGGATTCGTAAAGTCATTGTGGATCAAAGTTTTGATCTTTAATTACTTGTCACATATAATTTTCCCCTTGTAGCACTCTCTGTTTTATTTTCTTTGACCTAACCGAAGTTTGTATTCAAGATCCAGAAAAATATGAAAGCTATTAAGATACGCCCAAGGGGAATTTATATTTGATTTTTTAAATTTTAGCCAGAACATCTAAACATTTTAGATTGGCTTAGTAGTCAGGTGTGATTTGTGGTTACCATGTATCCTTCCTTAAGTTGTCTTAGATGACAAGGGGGGAGAAGGAAGAAGCAATACCGGTCCTGTTTATAGTGCCCAACATAAAGTAGGTGACCTCTTCCATCCAAAGTTGTCTGTGATTGCATGATGGAAAACTCGAAGAAATGGAAAGGGATCTATCGCTTTCTGCTGTATGAATGGGCAGTTGCCAGAACTAGAGGCAGCGATATTTAAGGTCATGTAGAACTTTAACCCATTCTACATGGCAAAGTGTTTTTGAAAGTGAGTGGTGTTCCAGAAGGTTTGTGAAGTGGCATGGATATTAGGTGCTTGAAGAAAAACATTTTAAAAGTCCACAGCCACAGTCTGTAAGTCTTCTGCATGAGCCTAAGCATCTCTTTTGTTACCAACCCATATATCTCTTTAATGGCTCTAAAATTGGTTCCTGAGTTTAGTAGCTTTGCAACAGGTAGAAATTCAACAGAAGCTGCTTTTCCCAGCATGGAGATTCAGTGCCTGTAAAGAAGGCAGGTATGCTGACACAAACTCTGACCATAGGAAGCCCTATGTGCTTTCTGGTTTCTGAATATTCACCATCTATTGTCCACATGATTAACACTTTTTTCTGTAGTGATGAGAGCTAGAAACTCTGTTTTGGGGTATTTTGAACACATGGAGCTGTCTTATACTGAATCAGACTATTGGTCCATCACCGTCAGTATTGTCTGTTCAAATTGGCAGGGATTCTCCAGGGTCTGAGCTGGAGGTTTTTCACATCACCTGATACCTGATCCTTTAACTGGAGATGCTGGGGACTGAAGCTGGGACCGTCTACATGCAAAACAGATACTGTGCTACTGAGCCATGGCCCCTCCCCAATTTTAAACCTGAGCATCTTGAAGCACAAAATCCTGTAATAGGGCCCATAATCTGCTTTTGTGTGGCAATCCCATGAGCATGCAAAATGCACATTGCAACACTTAAAAAATAATTAGATTCATAGCTGCATTTTTATGCAGAAATGGAATTATACTGACAAGTTCAATTTCTTTTTGTCTTGAAGATAGTAACTCTGTCAAAAAAGGGGATAAGCTGTATGAAATTCATATAGCTCATTTTGCAGTGCTGGGTTCTGCCTCCCTGTTTTCTCTGTTTTATACATGGATTGGTTATTGAGAGCATTTGCCATCTGGAGTGTGTAAGAATAGTAGCTTCTACAATATCTATTAGTTAGTTTGTTTAGCAACTCTGTGCCAAGAGGCTAATTAGATAGAAGGCCCTCGGGATCAGCTGAGGTTAGAGTCCCAGGTGTTCTTTCCCTATTTTTATCTGCGATAATATGTGAGTGTGTCTCTTTGTTCTTGCCTGGATGACAGAGACGGGAGTCCGGCATAAATCTTTACCTAAAAGTAATAGTGGAGATCACCTTTGCATGTCAGCTGCTATAAAATGTTAGCTACTGAGTTCAAAGTAGATTGAAGGACTATAATGCTAGTTCTGGGGAAGGGATTAAGGCTTCCCATGTTCCGTTATGTCTGTCTTGATTCTGCTGCTTTGGTAATTTCAGTGTAGGTCTCACAGGAACTGGGTACATTCAGTGGCAGCTTTCTACTCTGGCTGGATGTTGCAGTACAACAACGAGTAGTGTAAGATGTGCAGATTGGGTAGTCTGTACTTAATTTCAAGCCTGGCCCTGCTGCTGTATCCTCTGCAGTGGGGCCCAAGGCTTGAAGTTCATAAAGGCCGACATAGACTGGAAATCTGGAGGTCTTAGGTCTCATGTGTGCAGAAAGCCAAGCCACTCCAAAGTTTCCCCCCCTCCATTGAGCCCTCTGTTTCATTAGTCCAGTATAATTCCTGCATAGACTCAGCCCACAGTTATCCAGGGAGGTCTAGAATGCTGGCTAAAATCATGGAATCGATCTGTCCTAAAACTACACTTGTCTACTTAAAGAGATCTGAGTAGAGATGTAAAATTTCCAGAAATTTTAGAGCCATAGAAAAATAACTGTTTGTCTTCCGGGGGGGGGGGGGGGTTCTAAACTAAAAAACCCTGAAATATGCAATACAATACTTTATTATCAAACATAAACCCGTTTTGCTTCTTTAATGATATAAACTGCATTGTTTATAACTTAGTATATATAATTGTATTAATTGGAATATTTATAGAATGTATCAGTTTTTCTACTAACTAAATATCAAATAACCCAACATTAAAGCAAACTGCTGTGCTCAATGCAATCTTAGCACATTTTACTTATTCCAAAAGGGGGGGATTTTTTCCAGTGCTCCCCCAAATTTCCTAATTCCCCCACACACTGAAAAAGCTGAAATAAAAGCTAGATTTTTTTCTCATTGGGAAAAAAAATCTGTGTCTTGGGGGGAGAAGTATTTGTGAGCATGTAAATTTCTCTCTCCCCCCCCTCCATCTTTACATTTCTAGGTTAGGGTGGGCTGAAACTTATTGTCTATGTGGACTGCAGAGGGCTCAGTGAAAATAGGAGGTGAGAAGGGCTTGTTCTGTGAGCTCTGCTCAAGTTACTTTGGATTCAACTCACATGCAATCTTTAGATCCAGTCCTGATGATAAATCTCTGCATGGTCAAATTATACCCCAGATGTGAATTGTCACATTTTAAGCCTTCATTTTCAATTCACAGTTTCTAAATATTCTAGTTTGTTTATGAGTTCATTATAGCTATGCAATGAAATGTGCGTGGCCTACTGCATAAATAATGTCTGCATAATAAGAATTCAAGCTCACAAAACGAAACTTTTTGTCTGAATGCACATGCTTTTATGGTTCACAGTATTATGGGCATATACTACTCTTCTGCAGAAAATGTCTGTTCTGTTTATGTGAATAAGAAGTAAAAGTTCTCTTTTTTCTCCTTTCCTTTATGTAGGATCACATGGTTAGCTGTGATTTACTTTCCAGCCTTCTGTTTTTCACTCACATGACATCAGTATAGCTACCAGTGTATTTTGGAAATTTTATGAGATATGATACTTCTTTCAATTTGTTTATAGACTGGAAGAAGCACTGCCTTTAGACAATGGGAAGCAGTAACTCCAAAATAAAGTTTCCATTTTCTCCAAGGAACAGTGTGAAGGACCACTATAGAAGTGTAGAACAGAAAGTCTTCAATCAAAATTCTGCACTGGGTGATTTATCATTGGACACAGACACCAATAGCCATACAGACACACCAGAAACTTACAGCAGTGATGAGGACACTGGGGGCATATTTTACAGGTTTGTGATTCTTCATGCTGAGGATGATATAGATGAAGCTGTTAGAGTCCAGGAGCTGCTGCAAAATGAATTCTGTATTAAACCAGGAATAATCTTTGCTGAAATGCCTAGTGGTAGGCACCTGTTGGAAAATTTACAAGATGCCATGAATGGCTCTGCATGGACAATTATCTTGTTGACAGAAAACTTCCTTAGTGAGCATTGCTGTGAATTCCAGGCTTACGCTTGTCTGTTCAGTTCACTTACCAAGCCACACAAGAGCAACACAGTCATTCCTCTCAGGCCACGGAATACCTCGCTTCCACTGGAGAGGACTCCTCTTGTTCTTGGGGCCCTTAATGCTCTACAAGAAGATAGTCCTGGGTTTGCTGTACAAGTAAAGAAAATTTTTCAGGAGTCTAGCTATAGGCAACAGCAAGCTGTATGGAAAAATAAAAAGAAGGAAGATGTACAAGAGTTGCTGGAATGGTGAAAGTGTAGACAATTTAAAGTGAAGCTGAACAAAGTCTTCGTAATAATTTGGTCCATTTCTGCCTTGTGGATTATGCTGCGGACATCTCCCAAGAACCATTTGAGATGGGAATTTACTCTTCTGATTAGATTATCTGCATGGTGTTAATTTGTCATTATGTTCTACTTCTACAACCCTGGCAGAAGAAGATCCTAAGAAGAGTGGGCATAGTTCAGTGGTACTCCTGCCTCTTGTAAACAGGGGGTGCAGGCTTTTGTAATTTCAGAAAGCTGGAAAATCTGTTTTATTGAAAAATCTGTGTCGTGGGAGTGTGTGTGTGTGTGTGTGTGTGTCTGTGCTTCCCTGAAATCACTTTTAAAATTGTCTATTTCCAGATTCCATGTGTTTGTATCAGGTTTGCTGTAGCCTCTGTTTATGTGTGCCAGGTTATCTGGACCTCCTGAGATTTGGTGAAGCTGTGGGCAGGCTCATAACTTCTCCATGAGATCTCTCAATATCTGCAAATTTTGCTCTGGTACATATGAGAATAAAAGACTTCTGTATCTCCAAACATAGCAGGAATTACTAGTCCCATTTAATAATGCCATTTCCACCTGACATGCTGAACACACCTATTCCAGAGCTTTCCGTTGGAACAGCTGGGTTACAAATTGCATTTTTACAGGGACAATGAAGTTGTAAGGTCTGCCCCATGAAGTTTTGAAATAAGGAAAGTTTTTTTGTGTCTGTGTAGTCAAAATGTTTTTAAGTGATGAATCCGTTACGAGATGTTGGCAGCCTTATTTGCACAAGTTTTTGGTTATTAAATAATGGCATGTTCAGCAGCATAACCACAGTGTGTCTGATAATTACCATGACTGTGTTATTCAAAAGATCTGTTTGTCAGTTCAGATTGGGTTAGACCCCAGGCAGTGCCACCACCAGTGTTCCCTCTAAGCTGAGTTAGTGTGAGCTAGCTCACAGTTTTCTGGCCTCCAGCTCGCACATTTTTGTCTCGGCTCCAGGAAGGAGGGCTCCAGAGCAAACTAATTGATGCAGCAGCCAAATTGCTTTAATGCCAGGGGCTCACAAAATAGAATTTTTGCTCACAAGACTCCACAGCTTAGAGGGAATGTAGGCCACCACATGCAAACTTTCTCTCATGTCCTTCTCCCAACACTGAAAAGGGGTTGTGGACCCTCATAGGCCTTGACCTCATAGGTCATAGGCCTTTTGCTTTTATTTTAAAGATTATCTCTTGGGCTGCCTTGGGTAATTTCTCAGCTTTTAAAACTAGTCTGACATTAACAAATGCATTACGTGTACTCCTGAAGAATAACGGCAGATATCCCTTGGCTATTGCCAAAAAACATGGTTCTTCCAGCATATTAGACCTGCAACCTTTAAATACTACCTGAAAGGCTTCAGTTGAATAATTGGCAAGGACCAAGCTTAATTGCTAGGTCTATAAATTAAGGGCACATTTGCCTTTGGTAACTGATTTTGAATTAAGAACCTAGAAGGTTAAATGAATCCAAATTAAAGGGCCCAGTATTTAAACAACTGATTATAAGATATGAATATTTGTCAAATATATAACAATTTATGTATTTATTACAAAATGATTTAAAAGCAACTATAGGGCCAAATATTGCCTCAATACAGATTAAAATCATAAGTTATCTCAAACAAAGACCACATGGGACCCTTGCCAAACACGTTTCAGCCTTATGGCCTTCTTCAGTGGTCAAGCATTGTTATTACACATTAGCTCCAGATATTGCAATAATAACAATTACTCAATATGTTAGGGCCAAGTTGGGATTGTTCTGGGGGGGGGATTTTTTATAGTTAAAATTGATGCAATATTTATAATATTTTAGTTATAACATGAAGTTATATTCAAAAATAGTTATTTGGAATTACTTCTAATCAATATCCCTGACTCAAGGCAGAGATATAATTAAGAGGCCTCATTTGAAATCACCTTCTGCCATTTTCAAGTTCATGTATCTTGAGTGGTAGTTCAATTGTGTACCTAAAAATATTCACAAATATCCTGATAACCACATTTTTATAAAAAATATTTGAAAAAGAACCCTAACCACATATAATTATTAGGTTTACTATTACTCAACTATAAAAATTACCTTCCTATTCTGGTCCAAAGGAAATTACTTTCAAGTGCAGTATGGAGCCAATGTAACACAGTGGTGTCTAGTGCAAAGTGTCAAGTGTCATATTTCTTAGTTGTCCGGCTGAGGGATGATGCAATCAGGATGGATGATGCAATCAGAATGGGGGGGGGGAACACATACATTGTGAATATACCAATCCAATGTGTTAATGAATATCAATGATAGTAACACAGTAACTAAATACTGATAGGACAACATTATGTCAAACACATAACCAGTCCACTTGGCCTAGGAAATCCATTGTATGCTTTAGGTATGTGTCAATTTTAGGAATGAATGGTTTCAAAAATTCACCCAGATACATAACTAAAGGTTCAAGAATAGAACCACATCCTGAGACAATGGTTCTTCTGGATACTGGGAGCACACTGTGACATCCTCCTTATTGGGGAGGACTAATTTCACTTTAAAAGTGTTCTTTATTTTCTTTTACTGGGTATATACGGCTGCCACCAGGAAATTAAAGGATTTCCGAACCTTTATGTTTTTACTGTTACTCTTCTTTATTTGGTAGACCGAGTTCAAGGCTTACAGGGATCTATGTGGTCCTGGGAAGTATTTCATTCAGAGCTGGTATAAACTTGGATGAAAGAGGATTTATTGAAATAACTACTAAATAAGAGGGTTGTACAATGTAACTAGTAATGTATAAATGATGAACAATTGCTTTGGTATCACACAATCTTATCCCTCACTGACAGGGATCTTTCAGGTAACTTTGTAACACTTGTTTAACTCAAGGTCATATATGTTCACTGTTTCTCTCCAGTTTATCAGGACATACAACCTTTCCTATAACTTGTCTTCAATTAAACTTTCATTTACTTTTTCCTATACACTCAGCTTTCCTTCTGTTTCTCACTGAACTACCTCAGCTATCCGCTTATAACTGCTTCTACAAAAACTGCTTGTCTAACTCAACTGTCAACTTGTAACTGAAACTACTGACTGACTCACATACTCATCCAACCAGATTCACTTCCAAAACCCCTCCCCCTCTGTCAACCACCAATCATACCACACTTGCCTCTCTCAACCACTCTAGTCTATCTACTACAGCCATGCAACCAAACTTTTAAGGACACACACACACACACACACAAACAAGAAATCGTTACACACACCTTTATGGATTTTTGGCAAGAGGTAAAACTGTGGAGTTCTATTTTCGATTGGACATGGTGTTAGAGCAACCTAGGATGACATCAAGAACCTATCAGTCTCTTCAGATCTGCAACCATGACTTCTTTTAAGAGACAATAATACTTTCTTAAAAGAATATGATCTTGCTTTTATTTTTAAAAAGGCAATATTATTGTGCAATTCTGCCAGTTATTCTGCAAAGAATACTCTGCCTTTTTAAACTTCCCATTTCAGTATCTAGTGGGACAAAGTCTACCTCTCCTACTGTTGCAGAACAAGGAGGGTTCGTTCATTTAAGACAAATGGGAGCAAGAGAAAAAGAAATGCAGCTGAAAGAGTTACAACTTTGGTATTCAGGAAGTATATTGTACAGAAGACATTTGGTGGAAAAAGGGGTGAAGTTAACAGTAAGAGACACTGGCTGGCAAATGATCAGCAGTGCAAGTTGTTCTTGCTTAGAAAACAGCAGTGAATGCCCAGCATACCATTGGGGTTGTCTGCTGGGATAAATTCTGTTTCGCCCTGGAAGGAAGAAAGCCTTTTATGTCTCTAATGTGGCAGGCACAGTGAAAATGATTCCTTATGCAGGCTTTTTTGAAGACAAGCAACATTCAACCTTTTAAAAATATTGGATAGAAATGACAAGCTGCTTGGGGACAGAATGTAATACTGTGAGGGACTGAAAACATCAGGCAACAAGAGCTTGACATGTAAAATTTCCAACAATGTTGAAGCCACAGCCAAAAAGTAAATTTGAGGAAAAATGGAAATCTATGCAATACTTATTTTCCTAAACTACTTTTACTGATTGAACAACAAAAATGCATCATTTATAATTTAGTTATCATATACAATTGTCCTATTTGGTATATTTATGGGATTTAAAAGTATAAATATCTTCATTTTCTATAAGAAAAATAGCAAGTATACCCAAGATTTGTGACAAGGGCGGCCCCACGTAGACAGCGTTACAGTAGTCTAATCTCAAGGTGACCATTGCATGGATCACTGTTGCCAAGTTGTTGCAGTCGAGGAAGGACCCAACTGCCTAATCAGCCAAAGATGGTAAAAGGCTGACTTTGCAATGGTTGCTACCTGGGCCTCCATTGTTTTTTTTTAATAA